CGTCGATGATATCGATTCCATAAGGCGGTGTACAAGCAGTAGGTGATGCCAATGGTGCATTGTCTTTTTGCTTATCATCAGAACCAAACAGGTAGCCTAAGGAACTCTGGCCACCACCAGAGCTTTCGCCTCTCTTCATGGTTTCTCCTAGGGATCTAATTCTTATCAGGAGTGTAAGAACAAGGAGGAGAAAAGGAAGAGAGACCTCAAGTATATATATTATGAAAATGACTTGAGATGTTAGAACATATAGAGGAGTTTATTTATTTAAGTTTTTTCTTTAACACGTCATTTCGCATGTAGGCCTCATTTTTTCAATTTGATATGTTCACAATTTTCATAAATAGGTATCAATACATGAAACTTGAAATCATGACTTTTGTGTACTCGAGTCGCCTCTAAAATTCAAGATGTTAGAGATTAGGCAAATTTATATAATTAAGTTATATGTTCAACAAAACAAGTAGGGTTTTTTTCACTTTTTGTCTCTTCAGATGCTGATTCAATGTCATATTAAACTGGCCATCCAATTGATTTTAAACACAGTTTCACCAATATAGAACAGTGACATATTTGATATCTGTACAAGAAGTATCCAATGCCATTGTGGGGTTAAATTCATATTTATATATTTTAGATGTGATTAAATTAGGTAATAATCTTGCACTAAGAAAATGTGTGGAAACTCATCAGTGATTTTGAATTTAAACCATTTTAAATAATCACATCATGTGTTAAACGATATATTCTTGGAATAAGTTATTATGCTACATATATAAATAATAGTTTTTAAATCCTCCGATGATTCAACCCTTCTTAATTTCGTCTTTTCATATATTCCGTAGGGCCTGTCTCAATTGTATTCTTATTTCGATTTCGCATGTTGTGTGACGGGTTTGACACAAATTAGAAAAATAAATAATTGAAAGGCTCCGAAATACTTGTAATGTAGAGAGAGGGGAACAAAGAAATAAATATCGGATAAAGGCACTAATTTGTGAGAATCACGGACACGGCTCAAAGGAAATTGAATCCTTTGACAATTAGAAGTGTTTTAATTAGTGATTTAGAGTTGGAAAGTAAAAAGGAAACTTACCTTTTCTTGGAGTGAGAGAGAAGGTACACGCACATTGAGTGTACTAGTTTTGATTAGAATTGGGGTTACACACGAGAAAGAGTACAAAGAGAATGTTGAGTGCAGCTAGAGAGACACACTTAGGATGATGAGACCAAAAATTGAGTCGAGAGAAACTAGAAAAATTGTATGCACATACATGAAGCACTCTAGCTTTATATGGAGAGGAATTGAGAGGGTGAACAAATATTGTATCGTGAAATACTGAAATTTTTTGAATTAACTGATTCATCTTCTCCAATGGTAGTCGTGGATATATCGAATCACATTTAGGGGGTGTTTGATGGATATTATTGAGGAAAGAATGTATTTTAAATAGTATATGATGTGAAATATGTAGTTAAAAAATAAGGAAAAGTTATTGATGTGATGAAAAATATTATTTTATTAAAAAATGTGTAGTTCACAGTGAGTTTTGAAAGAGTTAATGTGTGTCAAACAGAGACTTAATTTATGTTTTTCTCTTTCTAAATTGTTTTCATTTTCTATTTCCACTGCATTCACTGCACATTTTGATGGGATATTTTTCTCAATAATGTGAAACAACATGGTTTAATCAAATTCGCCTTTTGTTTCAAAAAAGAAAAGGTTGTCTCTGTCTGGCCAAATATATTGCAAATCATTGAAAAATTGCAAAGATAGAGTTGAAGCTTAGGGCCTATTTGCCAGTTTATTGCACTGATATTTTCTAAGTGACACTATTTATTAGAAGTTGAAAAAATCAATGCTTGTTAATTTTTGGGTCACTACCACCCAAAATCAATGTAATATAATTTGTGTTGTATTTTTCAAGCCACCAAATCGGGAGTTTTTGGCCATTTTTTACCCTCTCGAAAAGAATTATTCCAAATCTACTCTAAAAAGAAATGAAGCTTGGACAAAAAGTACAGAAATTCCTGTTCAAATTGATCATTCTCTTCAAAATTATATTCGTTTTTCTTTATCTTATAATCCAATAGAAAATTATGGCATGGAAGAGCTTATTCATAGCAACAATAATTAGTCTAAAATTAGTCGATACACAATAAAAAATAATTGAGTAAATTGTCTAAAGTCTTAATTGTAAGGAGTGACATACACATTTACCAATATTGTTTACATGGACATATATGTAAATATATATTTTTAGAGGATTTGCAGAATCTCGGGATTATAAACTCTCAAGAAATGATTGGACTGTTTTAAAAACCTTTACTACCCAAAATGGACCCTCGTAATAGCCTGAGATCGGTAATTTGAAAAAACTTCATAACCGGTACCTTTAATACATGAAACTATGTTGTTCAAATGTCAAGTATGTGTCTCTATCAAGCATTCCTTTCATACATAGCAACAGATGAGAATTCAATTTTTAGGGTTGCAAAATTGTGTCAATAGTTCGCATTAACCATTCGTGGGGTAAATTGTTTCCATCACAGAATCCTACCAAAAATTGAAAAGCTCAGCAATACGATAATATCTAGAAATACAAGTTATTTGTGGTGTGTGTATCGATTATTAAACTTATTATAAAT